GGGGTGGTGGCACGGGAATGTGGCAGGGGTTGAGGGTGGTGTGTTGAGGGGCCCGTCGTGCACAGAGACGGCCAGAGGTGGGCTCGGCAGCAGCAGCAGCATCCGCCTGTCGGTCCAACGCGTCCGCGCCCGCCCCCGGCAAGCCGGCCTGCGGCAGCGCCGCGCCGGCTGCTGGCCCCACCCTCCTCATGGGTGTGCAGGCAGCCCAATGCGCACCAGCCTCTGCCGAGCTTTCTGAGGCCACCGCCACCCATCAGACGGCCTCGCCCCCGCCCCGCCCCGCGCTCTCCACACCCGCGCTTCACAGGAGGAGTGGTGGAAAAAGTATACCCGCCCCTCAATCCTTACAAAAGGCGTGTTCCCCCTGTCGCTGCCCGGTGAGCCTCAAGCGCCGCCGCCGTCACCTGCGTCGCTTGTGCTGAACGCACGCGAAGCGGCGGCTGGCCACAACACGCGGAGCGGTGGGCGGGCGTCTTCGTCGCGCATCCGTGCGCGTGCGTGCGTGCATGCACGCGGCCCCGCCCTGCACCGTGCACCAGCCCGCGCTGCGCCCTGCAAACCGTCTCAGCCCCCCACGTCCCGCTCCGCACCCCGCCCGCGCCCGCCCACGCCACGCCTCAACCTCGGACGCGTGACGCCGCAACCTCGGCAGCCGACCAGACGCTGCAGCTGGTGTCGGCGCGCGACATGGGCACCGCTGCCGCGGCCGCCTTCCGGGACCCCTCCAGATTCGCCGGCCGTAATATCCCGCTGGCGGGCGACGAGCTGACGCCGCTGCAGATGTGCGAGGCGTTCGCGGCGGCGCAGGGCGGCGGGCCCGTCAAGCACAGCTGCCCGCCGGCGTGGCTCTTCTGGTTCTTGAGCAAGTGGGTGTCTTCTACTAGTAGGCCGTTATGGGGCAAGGGCCACTCTCCTTTGGGGGCCTGGCCCTTGAATTGACATATGGATAAGGGATGACAAACGGCATCTTGAAAATATTATTTTTGGGGGGGGGTGGGGAGGTGGACAGCGGGACGTGGGGGCTGGAGTTTGGCAGTGTCACCGTGCCTTTCGGTTCAGGAAGTTGCTGGCGTGGCTTACTGATCAGGGCGTTCTGTTGGCGCTGGTCTGGTCTGTCACCCCCGGACCCCGAGGCCCCATGCTGTCGCGGGGGCCGGGGACAGGGGGTGGGAGTGACCGTGGCCGGGCGCGGCCCCCGGCCTCCGGGCTGAGCCGCTCGCCTGCTACTGCGCGTGGCCGCGCCTAGCCTGCAGGCCGCGGCTATTCTCTCGCTGCCTGGCCTTCAGAACAGCCGGCGGCTCCTCTCCGGCGTCAACCTCGCAGCCCCGGCCCCAGGCCGCCTCGCGGGCTCCCGGCGGCCGGGCAGCTGCATTGTGCATGACAATTTCGAACACTTCCGCATCAGGCATGATCCAGCCATTCATAGTCAATTCGCTGCAAGTCAACACACAAAGCGCGAGTCAGGCTGCATCCTCCCTCCCCTACCCTCTGCACGCCTGGGCACCCGCCTTCGCCCCCAGCCGCCAATTCTCTTCCCCTCGCACCCGGGGAATATGAGGCTAGAAACCCCCTTTTCTGCGCCGCCCCCATTGCCCACTTTGCCCCCACTGCGCTTCCCTGACATACACCCCTCCGCAATCTCGCCCTCTCGCTCGACCCCGCCCCACAAAGGGACCTGTGGCGCATCACCCGCTTCCTGCGTAACACCGGCTTCAAGGCAGACCGCGCCGCCTGCGTCGCCGACTTCCCCGGGCTGCTCACCTTCCGAGAGTTCCTGGCCGCCACCAGCTGGGGCGACGCCGGCCGCGCCTATGAAGACGGGATCGAGTTCGCGTCCGCCGCGGCGGCGCCAGCCGGCCCGGGGGGCGCGGCTGGTGCGGCTGCTGGGGTCAGGGCTGCGAAGTGACCGCAGGGCAGGGAGCGGCCGCGAGCGGCGCCCGCGTGGTTGCGTCCTGCTGGCTTCCGCGCGAGAGCGCTGAGTGGCGACGGTGAGATTTGCTGGTGGGTGGCGCGAGCAAAGCAGCGCGCCTGACTTCGATGTATGGCGCATCAACACAAGGGAAATGTTGCAACTGTGTTTGCAGACAATCATTTACAACACAGCGTGGAGAGCGATGGCGGCGCAAACCATTTTTGGCGCGAGGTGGCGGCGCGCGGTACGACGAGATCGATCAACACTGCAATGCGGTGCAGAGCTGCGTCGTGATAGTGCATAGCAAACAGAGTACTGAAAAGACTCGCTGCAAATGCTTGAGCGACTCTTTGGGGTTTGATTTGGCTTTATTTCCCCTGCAACTAGTATTGGCAGCGCAATCCCATGCTGTTCGCGAACCCACGTGGTGTCGCAGTTGGGTCATGCATGCATTGGCAGCACCCACCCAGCTGGTGACGCGGCCCCGTACCTGCTCATCACGCGTTTGCTCTTGTATGGTAGTCGTGCTGGTGGGGCGGCGCAGCCGGGCCGATGTATACGTGAACAACATCAACTCATCTCCTCCCCATCCGACCTCATGTGTCGTGTAAATTGTAACGGCGCGTGCCTCGCAAGCGGGGGTGTGGCTGGAAAGCAGGGCTGGGGGGAAGCATCAGCTGCATGCCAGCTGCTGTGTGGCTGGGGCTGCTGATGCGCCGAAGGGCGGTCAAACTAGCGTTTTGCCGCCATGCTGGTGCCAGCTGGGCCTGCTCAGCACTGCTACGTGGGTGCAGCAGGGCGCGTGTGCACTTTTCGATGCCAGACGGACAAGCCACACAAGTGGATGGACATTACACAAAAACGCATGCCACGTCAAAGATGTGGTGCCCAATAGGGGCTGCGCGTGTGTATGTGGCTTTCCCCTGCCTGCTGCTTCTTCAGCAGGAGGGTCGGGGTTCAAAACCTCCCAAAAAAATCATGCATGCAAGCAGAAGGCTGCAGGGCAACCAGCCGCCGCACTTGCCCCTGGTGCGCCTACACTGAAGCATGCCCAGACAGGTGGCCCCGCAATTCGGGGATCCTGCCCACACCGCATAGTCAGCACCAATCAGCGCCGCGCTCATCCCCAGTCAGCACCAATCGGTGCCAATCAGCAAAGGCCCACTGCTCCCATTTGCTCACACCGCACAGCATGCCAGCAGCGCAAATCAGGCGGCAATCAGCTTCTCAATCTCCTTCTCCAGCTGGGCGGGGGTGGTGGTGGGGGCGTAGCGGCCCACAACCTCGCCCTGCAGGTTTGAGGGCAGGCAGGGGTGGTAAACAGCTTGGTGCGTACATTGCTAGTGCACCAACCAACCACCAATCTGCACAGCTGCTGACACGACCGCACTCGCATGTTCCGCCGCACCCTAGCGCCACGCAGCCCCCAGGTGGGCGGCGAACCGCGCCGGCAGGGACGGAACACCCGTGAACAGCTGTGTGCGGCTGGAAGTCAAATCAGCATTATGTCCGTACGCCCGTACACAGCTGCACGGTGCACTGAAATGATCCACATCCCTGATCAGCTGTGCAGTGACTCAAATACGCACCTCCTTGTCGACCAGGAACTTGCTGAAGTTCCACTTGATGTCCTTGGAGCCGAAGAGGCCAGCCTTCTCGTTCTTGAGGAAGTCGAAGAGGGGGTCCGCGGAGGCGCCGTTCACATCCACCTTGGAGAAGAGGGCTGGGG